TCATGGCTGCTCTCCCGCCCGTTGGCTGTGCACTGATGCTGGGTCAGATAATGAGCCGGGGAAAGGATATGAAATGCTGTATCTGTAGAGTATCTTTTGCTGCGAGGGCCTTGGAAAAAAAAAACAAAAAAAAAACAAGGACACTGAAAAGGAGCACAGGACACCTTGATGCCGGAGCACTCTCCCCAAGATAGCCGAGAAACACGTAGAACTTTTATTAAACCTGGGAATGTGATAGCTGAGCTGCACTGAAGGAACATTTCATTAGGGATCGAGATCCATTTTAATCAGTGTCAATAAGGCAATTAGCTTGACGAACAAAGACATTTGTTTTAAACAAATATACCACGGTTATTATTATTATATTATTATTGTTGTTGTCATTATTATAACTACGCAAAGTTGAGGGGTGTCCAATAAGAAGATCACGATCTTGTCAGTCACAAACCTAACCAAACTCGACCCCCCCAAAAAAAACCTTGCGACCCGCCTGAGGGTCGCGACCCAGTCTTTGGGAACCAGTGCAGTCGATCACAAAGGGAGTACTGTTAAATCATTATAAATTAATATGGAAAAAATAAAGCACAAATATAATTCCTCCGTTTGTAGTAGTGACCATGTACCGTGAGAATTAAGTCATATTGTGTCATGAAGCTACACGTGTTTAGCAGCTCCTGAGCCAAAATAGTGTGGACGCGCCTGGGGTTAGATAAAGACAGCTGCTAAATTTGAGACACATTTCTGCAAAATATAACCTTTATTTTAACATGAGGCCAGAATCAATGAAAATGTTGTCAATTAAAATAATAACCTGGATCATTAGCAACATTTTGCTAAGACAGCTAGTGTACATGTCCAACTCATTTTCACGGGCCACATGCAACCTGATTAGCTGTCAAGTGGGCTGGACCAGTACGATCATCACCAGTGTAATCATAATAATAATTCATTACAAATAATAATTCCATGTTTTTCCCCTTTGTTTTCATGCAAACACATACAAGTATATTAGATATGTACTATTATCTCTTCATATTCAATGAAATATAATTTTCCAAAAAATATCCTGAACATGAAGTGTATTTTTCTATTTTCAAATTTCATCAAGCGGGCCGGAGTGAACTGCCAAGCGGGACAATTTTGGCCCCCGGGCCGTATGTTTGATGCACTACCCAAAAATGATTCACAATGATTTAGAAAAATCATAACAGGCTTCATTTAACCCCGGTTTGGCGTCTTGGATAGACTATTCCCACACTGACAATCATACGGTTTCACTCCTCAATCCACTTTCACTGCGGTGGTTCGAGTTGCAGTAATGAGCTTAGTGTTGAGATTTGAAATGCCTGTGAACCCGCTGCTGACCTGCCTGTCTTTTAATCCGCAGGGATCTGCTGCGGCTGGGAGGAACACTGCCGGGACACAACAGGAAGAGTCCGGACAGCAGTCAGGAAATCGTTCGGCAGCAGATGAGCCAAACTCTGCCCATCAGAGTGTGAGCAGCTGGAAGCTCCGGAGGACGCAGAATGAATAAATAACTACCTACGAACCCTGGTGCAAACAGACTCATGTAAAATATGAAAAAAAAAAATTAGAAAAAAAGAGGAAAAGGAAGAGAAGAGAAGAAAGCTCCAGACGGAGGAGGAAGACTCTCGAGGAGACGTCGAGCTGCGACGTCCGTTTGAAGAACTTTTCCATTGCAGTGTGTGTTTATTACTTGACCCCCTTGTGGATTCGTGACTGTCGACATAAGGCCAAACTTCCTGTTGACCCCTCTCAGGTTGTGTTTGCATGTCTGCATGTGTTTTGGACTCTCCGCTCCGGACTAGGGTTCGGTGGAGCTCAAACAAACGATGGGATCGGCGTTCCCGTGATACAACAGTGCCAAGACGAAGCCGAGTCGAAGCTTTGACGACGCTAAGAGCAGTTCTTCATCTGTAGATTCTTTCATTGCCGTCAGCCTCTGATTTTATTCAAACCAACCGATGTTCCTTCGTTTTATTTTTGTGAAAGGAAAAACAGACACAAACACTTTTTCATATCTTCCTCCTGAAAACAGTCTTCCATCTGTACTGGGAGATTTTCTTGTTACAACTCTTGTACAAAGCATCTGAGTCTTCACACTGTCTCTCTCTCTCCCTCTCTCTCTCTCAGAGACATGATTGATAATGTGCGGGACACGTCATGTGCATGCCAAAGTGGAAGCTTTTACGTGTAAAAAAAAAAACAGAAAAAAAAAAACATTTACTGTCCATTTACAACCATAGACCTTTCCTAAAAATGGACCTAGCCTTCCAGCTCCAGAATTTAGCTGCAAGGTTAAACCACAAAAAAAAAAAAAAACTCTGCTGGTTTGGAAGTAACTCTAACTTTAAAAAAAAAAAACTTTTCTGAAAACATGACATTGCCAACAACTAGCTTTTAAGACATCGTTATTAGATCATCGTGTTAGGATTCCAAGCTAAGCTAGCTACCGTGGTAGCGGTCGAACAACGGCAGACATGTCCCAGTCAGCATTTATTTCACTTTTGGGGCAGGCTGACGTTATATTTTTTTTCCAAATGATGTCGTTGTGTGTATTTGAAACTACCATGTGGTAAGGAGTGGTACTGCGGCCAAACTGACACAGTAGAGAGAATGGTATTTTTATATACGGTCATTGGTGACTCCATCCACGTTGCCTCTAGTGTTGAACTACTGCCACTGTTTACTTTGGTTTGATGCAGGGTTGTAAAGAAATCACTGGGTGAATCGGTTTATACCGTCACCACTGAAGATAAAAAAAAATCACTAACACTCTGACTTTGACACAACCCTCCAATAATGGTCTTGTTTCTGGCAACTTCTACGTGTTGACATTGCCTGTAATCAGGCTGCTATTGGACCAACCTGCTGTCAATCATGAGCGTAACGCACCTTTCCCACCATTTTACTTTATCTGGCCTCTAATGTAATGTAAAGGTTTTAAATAGGGATGTCCGATATTAACAATTTTGCCAATATTGTCCGAACACTTAATTTCTGATTCCGACACTGAAACTGCCCCCAAAACTTAAGGTAAACGTCTCGGTACCCAACAAGCGATTCGAGCATATTTGGCAAAATCAGAGCAAAAACCCGATACCAATTCTTGCCCGATTTACATAATTATGCTACTATCGGACATCCCTCGTCTTAAGCGAATCTATATTGTCAAAAAATGTTTACATGTTGTAAATCCAGTGAGAGACATATACATAACCAAATATATCGAAAGTTACTTCCAAAACCATCACAGTTCCAGTCGACCTCTGCGGCTCCACCTATGTCTTCTATATGGTCTATGCCGTTGCTCTAACGGCATCAATCTGTACGGACGTTAACGTCCATGTTTATCGAGTCTTATTTGATTGAAATGAGCATTGTTTTGAATGCTAACTTATTATCTCTAATTGCAAAAAAAAAAGTTGTTTCTTGTATTTTGTTTTGTTTTTTTTTACACTCGTGCTCGAAACCGGATCTTTTTTTTTTAAATGACTGTTTTCTTTTTCTCGCCTCCTTTCACCAATGAAACCAGGCCGACTTGACAGAGCGAAGCGGAGGAACGGACGTTTGATTCGCACAGACAGTGTAACCTTTTAAAGAACTTTTGACCTTACGTTGTTTTTTTTTTGTTTTTTTTTACTTTCATCTGAAATGAAAAGTGCCCGTGCTCGTGCTGTTGTAGATTCTTACTTTTTGCGGATATGTTGCGAATTAAAAAAAAAAGGTCACTGTGCACAGACGATATCTTCGTGACCTTAACATCGATCTGACCTACAAACGTTGATGCTCAACAAATCACTCACTGCTTTATTTCTTTCTATTTTTTTCTGACGCGTTTCCTTCAGCCGCCGGCTGTCAACATCCCACAACTTCCTGTATATGTAACACTGTATTTCTACAGGCTGACCTGACTTGGACCCTGGTTTGTATGCTTGTTGTGCAGGAGAAAAATGGAGGGAAAGAAACTCCAGTTGGAAGGTGGGTGTTTAACTTGAAACTACATGTCACGAAGAAAGGAAGAAATGTATTAGATTGTACAGAGACAACAACAAAAAAAAAAACGAACAACAACAACAACGCGGGAAAACCAGAACAAAAATAAGCATTTCTCTTTCAGTATTTTTACGATAATCATATGCAAATAAATTATTAAATGGACCTTCTGGTATTCTCTTTGATTCCTCACTGGCTTCACTGGGCTGGGGTGTAGCAGGTCTCATCCTGCTGCAGGGATGAAAAGAGGGAATAATAAGTGTGTGATTTTTTTTTTTTTTGTTTTTTTTTCTAACCAACTCACTATCACAGCAGCTTTGGCCAGACTCATTAAGATTTAAGATAAATCAAAGCCAGTCCTCACAGCTCACCAATTAGTCGGACTTTTCCTGAGGATTCGAGAAATGGCCGGAGCTGCGGACGCTTCAAGGACACTAAGAAAATCCGGCTTCTCGCCAATTGTCAATGTTGTTTCAGTTTGAACGGGACCCAAACTAGGCCTCTGTCCTCATCTGTGCAGATGATCGAAGCCGTCACTCTGCGGTTTTGTTGACCCAGACGATGCTGAAAGGATTATCGAAGGCTCAAAGGTTTTGTTTAGAAAAAAGTCTCCACCGTCGAGGGTCTTCCCAGGGTTCACAATGTGCTGTTTCTTTGTGTTCTCCCCTCGTTCTTTCATCGCGCTCACACACACACACATACACGTTGGGTCGACGCAACACAGAATCTAGGAGCGTACGCACATGCAGTAAATGGCTATAATTCCACTGGGCGACCTCAGCGGCGGGGCATTTATCACGTGTGTCAGAGCTTTGCTAGGCAGATCACAGATAAATGCTTTGTGGAGGGAATAACGCCTCATTCTGTCGCAGCTAGGAATAAGACGTGTAGAAAAGCTCAACCTTGTGGAAGAACATCATGAATACCAACCAGAAAAGGTTTCCAGTGACCTGAGCTGAGTTACAGTGTTCATCAGAAACCACGGACTTCATATAGAAAGATGTGGAATGTAATGCTTTACTGGTTTCAGGAGGAATTCATTGTGATTTAAAAATCTAATTTAGTTTTTAATTTTAGTTCGTTTCAGTTGTTTGGGGTACTACTTCCTGGCCCGGTGATGGTTACAAAATGGCGCTGTGTGGAGGCACAGAGAACAAAGTTTGGTTCGTTTCAGTTGTTTGGGGTACTACTGGGGTACCGTTATTTGCCATGTGTTAGCAAAGAAGCGGCTTGTTCTGTGGGGAAATGTTTGCACTTTGTAGTGCATTGTAACGATGACACATCATGAAGAAGACGACACGTTAATATCGAGGGTAAGAATTTACAC